CATTGCTACGGCTGATAATCTTGAGATACTAGATTCTATACTTGTATTGTAGATCATTCGTGAGATTTGTTGAAACACTTGAATAATACGGTTCTTCAGGGTTTATTGAACTATTTTTGGCATTGGGAAGTTGTGATTGGGATTCGTTTGGAATATTCGTTTAAACACTATCCTTGATGTTATTTATGCTTCATGCCTTGTTTGACATTGATATACATATGCTTGGTAAGGAAGAGTGTAAAACACAAAGGTGTTGTGCCATTGTATATACATTATCATGTGAGGAAGAGTGTAAAGCACGAAGGGTGATGCCGTGCCATATCATTTGAGAGTAAAAGCACGATGGGTGATGCTATGCCATACTATTGAGAGTAAAAGCATGAAGGGTGATGCAGTGCCACATTATTGAGAGTAAAAGCACGAAGGGTGATGCCGTGCCATATCATTTGAGAGTAAAAGCACGAAGGGTGATGCCGTGCCATTTCATTTATATTGTTATGCTTTTATATTATTGTGAGATAATGGCACGATGGGTGTTTCCGTGCAGGAGAGGATGAGAGACATGCATTATGTTGTGATATCTGTTTTTCATGTATACGTTCATGTCTTCACCTTGAGTTTTTATTGTCGTAATTATAGATCTGATATGACTTGTTGCTATTGTTCTGTCATTGATCTCTATCTCAATTGTTGTTGTGTTGATCGTACCTTCTACTTGCTTAACTTGCAAATACCATGCCTATTCCTGCTGTTATAATTACACTCATGTCGTATCTATTCTGTTGCACTTTAGTACAAGCCTTCCACCATACTGGTCATTCATGCCTCTACTTGTTAACTTGTAAAGATCATGTGTTCCTTTTTTATTTGTTATGTTTGTACCTAGGCCTCCACCATTCTAGTTGGTTGAAGTTGATATTCCGTTTTTTCCTAATTGTTGTCATTACTCATATGCCTTCTGCCTAGTCTATTTCTGTTTCCCACATGTATACCCTTGTTCATTATTTCTACTTGCGTATTTCCTACTTTGCAATTCCTGTTATCGGTAGTTCTGTCATTCGTTTGGTACTGTTATATGTATATTGGATGAGGATGAGATAAAATCACGAAGGAAGTTGCCATGTAATTGACTTGATATCTAAGTACATTTCTCATGCTACGAAAGTTATGGAGTGACTGTCGTGGTTTATTTGTTTTCGTTCTAAGGGAAAGATTGGTCGAGGTATTGGAAGTAGCTAAATTGTGATCTCTGTTAGCACTCAATAATTGTTCTGTATATTCGTTCCATGTATTCCTTTCTGTTATATCGTAGTATAGTTCTATTGCTGTTCTCGGTGCAGGTTTTATCAGTGAGTACCTTTTAACTAAAAATTCTCGTCACTACTTCGACGAGGTTAGACAAGATACTTACTGGGTACATGGGGTCGGTTGTACTCATACTACACTTCTGCACCTTGCGTGCAGATTTTTGGAGCGGAGCTGCTGGTGATGTCGGGAGCTGACTCTGAAGATGTTCGTGCACTCCGGATATAGCTGCCACATGTCCTTGGTAGCTTTAGATTTTGCTAACCTGTTTATGTAACTTTCGAACAGATCGTGTATTTATTTGTATCAGCTTGGTAAATTCCAAATTTAGAAGCTCATGATTCGTACTATCAGTTCTTGGGTTAATTTGTAAATGTTCAGATAATTCTTCTCTATTTTTCTATAATCTCAGTTGGATTGTATAGGCTGTTAGTTGGCTTACCTAGCATATCGAGTTAGGTGCCATCACTACTAGTGATTTTTGGGTCGTGACAGATTTATTATCTGAATAAAAAAATTGACCTTCATGCTATTTGAAATTTCTAAGCTAGTTACACATAGTTTAGTTAATTGATTGGAATAAAAAATAATTACCTAGCACCAAAAGTTCTTAACTTTATTAAGACAGAAAGTAATTTTATGACTTTTTACTATTACAATGAGTAAATTATAAAAGCATAAATTAATCATATTATATGTCACCATCCATTTTTTGAACAAATCGTGATCGGCACCCGATCACTAAACTTGATCGAGCGAATCATTTGTACTTATCAAATATGTTGTAACTTCAAACTTTATATCCAACAAGGCAATACTTTAACCGAATACTTTTAATTAATTTAAATATTCAAAATAACCAACTCCAAAACTTTATTCGTAGTAACTACTGAAATACTGCTAAGTTATTATCAAAAACATCTGAATCTTAACCCACCGGCTGTGTCTATGAAGTCTCTACTTATAAACTGACGCACTACTCAGGACATGAGATCTTCTGGCCAGTTCTCTAAGTAAACAAAGAAATAGCTAAATAATGACGACTCAAAGGAGTACTCCACGAACAAAAGCGGAGCTCACCAATAGCACTAAAAGTGAGAGAAATCCTAACCCGTAGCTTGCTCGCCTGCAAAACTGGTTCCTATGTTGTACCGCATGCCAACGTAGGTTTTCAAAAGAGAACGTCAGTACCATCCATTGCACTCAGTGAGTATCAACGATAGGGAACGAAACTTTAATAAAATATATATTACGAACAAAGATTCTAAATGCATGAAAAACACAAAGCTTCTAAGAATAATTCTAAAATAATTGCATAATAGCAGTTTATGAATATTCTAGAAGAAATTCGATTCTTTTCTTTCTAAAAAAAATACTTCACTTTATACTTCGGGAGTTCCAACTATCCTGACTTATTTCTGTCTTAGTCACCGTGTGATCGGTACGGGTTCGATCCCAACCTGATCGAATAGGCCCAATCCACGAGGTGCCACTCGCTTCATGGTTCTCAGCGCTCATGTATCATACCTTAGCCTGGCTAAGTAAATTCTCAACAACGAGACCCTCGGCTCGTGTGTTCCCACCTTTGGCACAAGTAGTTTCAGGAAGTCAACGCCTTGGTCAGGACCTCGGCTTGGACGATGACCCCTTCTCAGAATAGAGGATACTCCCAAAAATCTTTTCTTTCTAAAACTTCTTTTTGTGACTTTTCAAGTCTAAATCTTTTCTGGAACATCCTATACATACTCATAGTGATATCCTTAAACGTTAAGTATGGCATAAGAATGAAATAAACATTCAAAAGTATTTCTAAAGATTCTTGCTTCTTCATGAATTTTCAACATGAAAATGGCATATAAGAATAACAAAAAAATCTGAAAATTTATGCACATATATCATAATAAATCACCTAAACTTTAGCTAGAACAATTGTACTCCCTCGCTCCAATTAAGCACATATTAACTCTTTTAAGCAATTCATCAAACACCTTGTATGCGTGCTTTTGTAAGTTAAACCACTTTAGTAAAGGGTTATATCAACTTTCCTCAAAACTTCTCGAGCCAACACGTAGGCCCCAGTCCAATTTATACCCATAAAATAATTGATTCTACAACAACTCGTGCATTTTAATTAATTCAAAGTTTCACACCTAGACATGAAATTTAATGTTGATACAGAAAAAGAAGAGAATTAACTATTCAATTCTTACCTACTACTACTGTAGAATAATTGACTATAGGAAATTTTATATACCTGAGTTTAAGAATTTGTGATTTGTAAAGAACCATAAAAGTTTTGTTGCCTAGTTCGCTGCCTCTATTTCTTGAGTAAACATAATGTTAATTCTGTTTTGTTCTTATAAGGTCTTGACTTCCAACAGCCCTTTATGGGCTTAGGCTTGGCATGTGCTTCTATTATTATTTTTTTTGTTTTTTTGCTTTTTGTTACTTAGCTAGTATTTAGTTATACTTACTTTTAATAATTAATAATATTAAAATTATCAATATTCCTATAATTGTATATCCAATTATTTATAAATAGAGAAGTAACTCAAAAATCAATCACAAGGGTTTAATCCGTAATAGATAATTTAAGATTATAAAAATTAAATTTTATATTTAGCGTGTCTTAAAATTTTTATAGATTTTAGGAGTGTTACATTATATTTGTATAAACTGTAGTCTTATGAGTTTGATTCTTCGTATCACTATTGTTCAGTTAAACATTTCATGCTCCGTAGTAGACTATGTTAAGAAAAAAGAATATAGGAGCAAACTGAATTAATTTATTTTTATTTTGGGCACAAGAACTATTGGAAAAGTAGGCGTTTCTTGTAAATGCCAACATGCGACTACTGTCGATCACGTTTGCAGGTATATATTGCCGTTTCTTATAATTTCCCAACGAATATTTGACTTATACGTTCTTACTTGCATTTTAGAATGTACTCCTTCCGTCTCATATTAGTTGTCTCAAATTAAAAATAGTTGTCATTTAGAAGTTCAAGACAAAATTGATAGTTTTCTCCCTTTTTTACTCTTAGTAATAATTGTTCTTGAAGATAGAGATAACACTAAATAGAATAAATATTCAATGAAGAGATATTATATCTTAAGATATAAATGAGGGTAGAATAGTCCAATCACTTTCCCAATTAATATTTTTTAAGAGGACGTGTAAAAGAAAAACACGACACATAATATGAAACAAACGGAGTAGGATTTACGTAGAAGTTTGTATATCCTTTAGGAAGAGAGAGTAGGCCAACAGAAAGGGGCGCTTAGAAGTATTCATCATTGATTCATTGGATTGCTGTATTTTGGGGCAATACGTGCTTCCTTTCTCCCCCTCTTGTTTGCCTTTTTATGAGCATATTTTTATTTTCCATCTACCGTGGTATGATCCTAAATACACTCTACATCTTCCAAGAGGATATTTACATTGCGAAAACAAGAAATTTATTCTTTTTTGTGATGATTCCCAATGATCAATAATTCTAAGTCGCGATGGTCGTGGGGTTCTAAACTGTCACTAAGTATCTTCAAGAACTTCCACAAATTCAAAATTTATTTTGTGGCGGTTGTCCTGGAGGTTTTAAAAAATTGCCACAATAATGCTCGTAGCAAAAATAACTGTGACACTTCTAGAAATCGCCACAAATCTTTTTGAGGGGGTCAAAAACCGTCCCAATTTGACCAATTCTCTGGTTCCGTTAGGAGAATCTATAAGTTTCCGAAACTAGTTTACTTGAAATCGATGAGTGATGTTTACACATTTGTACTGCGAGAAACAGACCTCTTAATGCATTATTATTCTTTCCAAGAAAGACTTCCCCTAATTTGCTCTCATAATCACAAACAAAAACTCTTTTGATAAAGAACGTAACCCATCTTTGATTCATTTACTTCAATTGATTCCTCACCCAAATTTTCATCAGCGGATGTTCTCCTTAAAGAATTTGCAGGCAGAAGCACAACTCATTGAAGTAGTAGATAAAGATTCCAAAGAAGCTGAACTTGTTAAGTCATGAACCTCATTTAGCTACCCTCCAGAACCATTCACTACATCTTGCTTGGCATTTCCACTGATGTCCTTACTACTTAATTAGATCCCCTGATCTGCCTTCATACTGAATGTCAATCCTTAATCCGTGGCATTTCCTGAAATTCCCGGACGAGTTTCTCCTTCATGTCTCAACCCTAAATTCTGCACTACAAAGATAATTAAATGAATAATAGTGTGTTTCATTCCTCTACAACTTTAGTTTTTAGATTAGATGCCACGCGTTTTAACATATTATAAGAGCGGAAGAGATCTTGAGTTCAAGTCTCACCGTCATCCATTATGAAAAATCACGTGTTTAGCTCATGATAAAAAATTAAACCAACGTACAAAAAGCTTGCTGAAGTGATAATTAAATAAATAAAAGCGTCTATACACTTTTATATAAGATGGTCTAACACTCATACAGTTAAACAATACCTGTTCAAGGACAATGCCGGTACGGCACATGGGACAATTGGTGTGAGATCTAAGCCAAGTGTCAATACAAAGTATGTGATAAGTATGGTTGCACTTTGGCAAAACCCTAAGAGTTTCATCGTCTTGAAACTCATTCAAGCAAACAGAGCACTCTGTTCCTTCAATTAGTTCTTCCCCTCTTTTATACTTGCAAATCTTGATAGCACTAACAACTGATGGCTGAAGACCCACTGTTCTAACACCAATAGACTCTTCTTCTTCTTCTTCTTCTGCTATTACTGCTGTTTGCTGTTGCGGTTGTGAAGGAGTTCTTAAGTTGCCGAATCTGTAAACGACGAAGCCACAAAATATGATGATAGCGGTAGCTAAGACTGAAACTAAAATGATCAAGAAGATGGAAATAGTTGGTTTTTGTGGAGGAACTTCGGTGGAGAAACTTGGTGGTGGTGGTGGTGGTGTCGGCGGTTGGATTTCTGAAAGCAGACAAATGCTGGGGCAAATAGTAAAACATGACAGTGGACAACCTGCAGAATAATACTCCTTTGGGTTGCAGTAATAGCTGCTACAAGTTTTGTCGGTGGAACTATCAAGAGATTCAAATATGAGATTTCGATGATGGAAAGAAGCCATGGCTGATTGTTTAGAGAGAGATGGGAGCCACCTTGTCTCAATTTTGCGTGAAAGATAATATAATATAATGCATCTTAATTATCACTGTAGTATCTAACGAAATAGTATCATGACAGTACACATGAATGTTTTTTTCTTCTTTTCATTTATTTTTTGTTTCTTCTTATTTAACTTTAAGGAAAACCTTGTATGCTAAGAGGCTGACTGTGACCGGTTTAGCAAGCTACCATTTCCACATACTTGGCTGCTTTTTTGCCTTTTTCTTTCCTTTGTCTTTTTTGGTTGGTGCTCTGACTTTGGAGTATACGTTTTGAAGCTGAGTTCTACTATTTTTTTCTTGCTGCGTATATAAATGTGTTTGGGTTGTTTGTCCTGACACTCATCATTGCTCTACAACCAGGTCCTTCACTTCTTTGATTGAATCTTATTTCTTAATTTTCTAAGATAACTAGTGGTTTGGCTCTCGATTTAATTAGTAACGAGACTCACCGCTAGAAAACTACCAAAAAAACGTCCAAGAAAATCGATCGAAATCGGTCGGAAATATAAAAAAACCGACCAATTTTAATTCGTCGAAAAAACAGTGGTCACTAACGTGTGGCGACCGAAGACGGTCGCAATTTCCGACCGAAGTCGATCAGTTAATTCAACTAAAGTTTGACCAGACCGAAATTGGTCGGAATCATTAAAAAATAAATAAATAAAAAGGTTATTTCCGACCGACTTCGGTCAGTAATTTCAATTTTTTGCAGATTGCACATTGAAATTACCGACCGAAATTGGTCGGAAGTCGGTCAGTTTTCTCGATAAAAACCTGGCAGAATATGGCTGCTTTTAAGCTACATCACCTTCCAATTACAACCAATAACCATCCTATAACGGCAGCATTACATTGCTGTCACTCAACCACAATTTACCAACAATAACCACATTTAACCAACAACAACAACAATTAACCAATGCTTACCACAACAATGATCACGCCCAACTATGCCTTATAAAAAGGACTAAGCGATCGTTGCAAATATAATTCGGTTTACAAGTCCGGAGTCGAATCCCACAGAGAACTAAGGCTTAGCTACAGCTGTTCAATATCACCAAAAAGACAAGCTTGAAGAATTCCTAACTTATAGATATTAAGATTCTTTTGTTTAACTATTCAACTAACAAATTAAAATAGTAAATTAACAACTAAAGATGCTAAGGGTTAGAGACAAGATTAAGGAGGTCTAGAAGTTATGATTTCCCCTATTGTCGGAATCCTTCCGGCTATGTTTTCTATAAATTTGCCTAAGATTCTCTACCGATTGTGAGCGCTCTGACTGCCGTAACTCTCTCCCGAGTAATTACCACAATTCACTAGACATATTCTCCCGAATTACGCTAGCTGACATTAAGTACGGCTCACTCGGATCGCACCCAAGGTTTCGTTATCCCTAATCCCACCTTTAAACCCTCCGTATTGATCCCTCATATACGTTAGGAGTGATGTTGTTCAACAACTACCTAAATATGCACTCTCTCCCGAGTAATACACACTAAATAGGAACAATCAATTGAGAGCTCTTCAACCAACCACAATAATAACGTAGTTGAACAAATAGAGAAAATACTACAGCAAATCTATATTAACGTAACTGGAAAATCATCTCCAATAGGTTCCATCAAAACCCTAGATAACAAATTAACTATTCATAATAGTATGCAAAACTGCAATACTAGAATTCATAACCAATAATAATAATAGGAAGAAGGAAGTGAAAAACTCGTAGAAGAATTTTTCGCCTTGCTCCTAGTGTGTTCTTGCCTCCTTAGGTCGAATCCACGGTCTCCTTAGCCTCCTTAGGTCTAAATTGTATCAAAAGTATGTCAAAACCTTCAAAAGTTTTTCCATGTATATATACCAAGTAGGGTCGGGCCCAAACAATTATACCTTCTCCTACGCAAAAAAGGACACTTTTCCCGGACATGACGTGCGCTGCCGCGCTTGGACCGCGCATATCCACTTTGATTCTGCCTGACGAGCGCGGCCTGAGCGCGGCCGCGCACTTGACGCACACCTTTCACCTTGTTATGTTTGGAATTTGGAAAAACGTAAAACATGAAAGTTGAAGATCTTTGAGTTAGATTTCCAACTATATATTGCGGAGACCAAATGGAGTTTTGAGCGAAAAGATATGTGCATTTTACTAACACTGCGCATTATGCTTGCTCGATTTTTTTTTCGTTCTAAACTATCATCCGTTGATCCCCGAACTCGATTCCGGCTTAATTCCTTAGGCTTTTACTCTGACTTCAAAGCTCCAAATCACTTGAATTCATTCCATTACCTCTACATAGCTCGGAATCAGTCCTACAAAGCATAAAACACACAATTAGTGCAAAACACTAGCGATTAAAGCGCAAACTCAATTAAAATGCAGTAAATTGGAATGTAATAATCGACTAAAATACGTAATTATAGCCAATCATCAACACCCCACACTTAAATCATTACTCGTCCTCGAGCAATCAAACTACACTTTATTTAGACACAACCTTTTTAAACAATTCTCCTAACTCATCACACCAAGAATGTTTAAAATAGACTAAGCACAAAAGCATAACCTCTTCACCTCAAGATTTGACTCACAAGTACTACGCATTATTCACAACTCACCCACTTACTCTAACGTAGAGGTCACTGACATTACCTTCCCTTCATGAATTAAGTGCCCTCATACAACAAAAGAGAGCAGTTCCACACAATAAAATTTAAGAATACTTAGGAACTCAAGATAGAAAGAATTCACTCACTCTCAGAAATAACATTCATATGCCACAAAAGATGCACCATAGGCTTGCCCATAGTGTACTACTCTACAATCGAGCTCATTCAGTCTAGGATCAAGTAGGACTTTAATTGGTTGTAATGTAGGCTACGGGTCGGGTAGGATACATTTGGATATAAGAGTGACTACACCTCCCTAAGCACTTTAATACATATACTTTAACATTCAAGCCCATACTTATGTCAAACCATAACTCCACCTTCACATCAATATATATTAACTCCATACTTCTTTAAGCACAATTACATCAAGAGTCACCATTTAGCAAGGAATATTATTTTTTTTCACAACAATACAACTATTTTTTTTTTCGAATTCAAGTGGCTCTTATTTTTTTTTTTGTCAACACAGTGCACCTTTCTCCTTATTTCATTAGCTCCACTCAAAAGCCAAACCAACCACCCACACTTTAACTTTTACAAAGTTCATTACAATTCAAGTGCTCATGAGAGGTGAAAAGGTTCAAATAGATGGTTAATTCAAACAAAGGGGTAAGGCTTGTAATGTGGTTGCCAAAGAAACAGGATTACAGGCTCAAAGGGGTTAACTACGATACACAACAATTAGGCGGGTAAAATATACATATCTGGCTCAACAAAGAAATGCCTATATCACTTCTAAGACTGAACAAAACTACTATTTCGCTTTGCAAACACACGGGGCAAGTTCTAGGCATCAAATGCAATGCACAGAATAACACCCAAACCTCATACACACATGGCACATAACTCACTCAGGATTGGATTCATCAAGACACTCTAGTCAAAGCAGTTAATCAAAGTTCAAATCATACAATTTAAGGTACTTATACAAGAGGCAAAAACTGAGCCTAAGCGTCACAACCAAAGTACTCACTATTCTCAAGGCATAACAAAGTCAAGAGATATTGCTTCAATTCAAAACACAACACAATAGCTCCTGCTCCCCCCCCCCCCCAAAAAAAAAACTAACTACACCCGGTTCAAACAAAACCCTTGGAAAAGAACCGCGGCACAAAGAAAAACCAAGGGGGAATTACTACACTACCTACAAAGAAAATCTTTTTTTTTAGACTTAAATCCCTCAAGAAAATTGTCTAATAGATCCATCGTCGGGAAAAGTCCAACCTTTTAAATAAAAAAATATTATTTAATTAAACTAACACAGCTAAAGTAGCATGAAAAGTCACCAGACAATCTCCTCACCCCATACTTAAAATTGTGCATTGTCCCCAATGCACGTCATAACTATAAGAGGGTAAAAGGAACTCCCCGGTAGGCCAAAGGACGAAGCACTAGCAGCTCATGGGGTACTCAGACTTCTCCCAGATTTGTCGTTCGTGCGGGTACCTCGCACTTAGTTCCAACCATTTGGTTTGCTGTTTCATCCTTCCAATAGCTTTGCTTTCCATGCTCCTAGAAAATCAAAAATGGACACTACAAAAATAATATAATAAAAAAAATAATAAAAAAAACAAAAGAAAGCAGTAAAGTTGGGTTGCCTCCCGACAAGCGCTTGATTTGACGCCGCGGCACGGCGTGAATCACTTTCTGCCTCCACTTCGAATTTATGAATTGGACCCCAAGTTTTGATTCTGCTCTGTGATCATGCTCCTGGGGTGGTAGAACGAATCTGACTGGCCCAATAAAATAATGTAGTATTCTGCACTTCTTGGCCTTTGGATGAGATGTGTATTCCCGACTTTCTGGCATGAAGAATTCCAGAATGTAAGCATCTTGTTCCTTACTCCTTGACTCCTGAAGTGGCTCGGACGACTCTATTTTCATATCATCATCCATACACAATGTGGAAAAATGCTTGGAGTGTGGACCAATGCGCTCAACTACACAAACATTGAGATTGTCAACATCCTTAACTCTAATGACACTAGAGTCAACTAAATATGTATCCTCAATATCCTTGGTTGACTCTAGTATCTCTTCTACGACATCGGTATCCTCAAAATCTAGTTCGATTGATTTGTTGGTGTTCTACTCTGGCCTTCTCCTCTAGCTCATTCTCGTATTTTTGTAAATCCTCCGGTATAATGGCAATTTCTGCAGCCAATTCATACTCATATTGGCTACTATCCACAATGTCAACTTGTTGCGCTTTTCAAGGTTCAATTAATTTATTCGCTTGAGCCTCCAAGTTGTGAATAGTTTCCCCTTGCCTTTGTACCCGCAGTTGTATCTTATCATATTGTTTCATAAGGCACTTTAGCATATCCTCGATCTCTTTCAGGTCCTCATACCTGGGTTCTTTGTTCCTATTAATTTCACAAGAAAAAGAAGAACCATCAAAGTAAGGGGTTGGGGGAAGATAAGAAATA